AGGCAAAACTCTGCATTAAGTGAACTCACTCTTTATGCTTTTCCCGGTGTCTCTTAACTCTGTGTGTCCCTTGGCCCAGGCCATTTGCTAGAAGCTTGTGTACCTAGAGTGGATGTCTGATAAACAAGTTCATATCCCATTGTTAAAGGCTTTAAAATGCTGATACTCCAGGGAGTATTCTAAGAGGACTAGTTTCCTGGGCGCCTGGGTGGCTCAGTTGGTTAAGCGACTGCCTTCGGCTCAGGTCATGATCCTGGAGTCCTGGGATCGAGTCCCACATCGGGCTCCCTGCTCGGCGGGGAGCCTGCTTCTCCCTCTGACCCTCCCCCCTCTCATGAGCTCTCTCATTCTCTCTCTCTCAAATAAATAAATAAAATCTTTAAAAAAAAAAAAAAAGAGGACTCCTTTCCTAGCATAATGCCTCATCCAAAAGAACCCATCTCCAATGATGGATTTTCTGGCCCTGGGGTAGCTACATAAAGAAGTTGTTTTGAGTGGGATTGTCTTTCTGGGGTCACTCAAGTTTTCTGCCTATTTCACTTACAAACAACTCTGGTCATGGGTATGGGGACAACACATCCTTTGGGGGTTTGAATCCGCATTTCTTGTGACTCAAATTAAAGACAGAATTTTCCATGGAAACATTACCTCAAGGGCATCTTTGTTCAAGACCCAAATGTAATGGAAAGATCTTCCCCCTTCTAACTGGTGGTTATTTGTGGTGTAAATGTTGGGGACTTCGTGCTATGCTGAGATGACCATTTTCCTGATGTACCTTGTAGGGTAAGGGCTGATCCCATGGTGAATGTGGTCTTCCCTGAGGGGCGGGCAGACCAGAAGTCACCGCTGGGAAGAGGCAGGGACTGACAGGAATCCTGAGTCCTGAGTCTGGATGTCCAGGGCTTCTGACTCTTTCTTGGCCTCAGTTCTGTGAGTGTGGACTTCAAGGAATTTGCGAGAATGTCAGGGGCTGTTTGCTTCTACTCCATCGAGCTGGTTTTCCTCTCAGCTGAGACTCTTCAATGACATTTAAACTTTTCTATTTCCTGAGAAGCTTTATCCTTTGATCTTGGGGATGTTCAACCAGAAATTGCAACCCAGCTGGGAAAAGATGGTTGAGAAGGGGGCTGGGAGAAGCAACCTGGAGGTTCTGTTGGTGGGGCAACTGCCCAAGTCGGTTCAGTCCAGGTACTGTAATAAGAACTTGTTTCATCTGGTGCTGTTTCAGGAGATACTTTGCCCCTCTTGCTTCTTCCATCATCATGAATGAATTTCCCTGAACACTCATTGGCCTCACAGTCAAAGTGTCCCCAGGCTGGCCTTTGGGTCATAGTGTAGGCACCGTTCACTGGACATGAGCTTTTACAAGATGGTGGCTTACTGTATATCAATTTCTAAACTTGGAAGCCACCTGTTCAGCAATCTCTGATTCCAGAGTTGTCTTACTCCACTGGGAGACCCTCCTCAGGCACGGGCCCAATTCTTTCATTTTCTACTTCGATCCCTGTTCCTGGACTGTTTTTAGTAAAAAGCCTTCCAGGATGCAGTGTATTCTTTTGTTTGCCCAGAATCTTCTTCCTCCTGAGTATTTTCCCTCTCCTGAAAAACAAATCTCACTATTTGGGCCCTCCTCTTCCATGAAGCCACCCAGGTCTTTCCCTCCCCAGAACTCAAAGGTCTTTTTTCCCGATGATCTTTTGGCAATGAATCACACATGTCTCATGACTTATTCCAGTAATTGTTTTATGGCAAGCAGAATATCCACTTTACCTATTCAGCCTCCCTAATTTTGATGTATGGCAGGCATCTCGGTCTGCACAAGGAGACTCTGGAATGTGAACTGTATTCGGCGAAGTGGCTTTGATTTGGGCAGATGTTTTTATGTATCTATCACCAGTGCTGATCTGCTTTCCATGAAGGAAATTTGGCTGACCTTCAAAGTATAAAGATTATTGACCTCCCTTGGAAGCCAGTGGAAGTGAATTCACTATAGAATTTTTTTTAAAGTACAAATGGAGGACAATTAAATGCAGTATATTACGGTTTCCCCCCTTATCCACAGGGGATATGTTTCAAGACCCCCAGAGGATGCCTAAAACCACAGATAGTACCAAACCCTAGGTATACTATGTCTTCCTATACATCCATAAAGTTTAGTTTCTAAATTAAGCACAGTCAGATTAACAATAATAATAAAACAGAACAATTATAACAATATACTGTAATAAATTTATGTGAATGTGGTCTCTCTCAAAATATCTTATTGTACTGTAGTCACCCTTTTTGTGATGTTTGATGATAAAATGCCTACCGAATGAGATGCCATCAGGTGAGTAGGCATCGTGACAGAGTGTTAGGCTACTGTCGGCCTTCTGGCGATTAGTCAGGAGGATCATCTGCTTCCAGGCCGGACGGCACGGGTAACCGAAACCGCAGATATCGGGTACTGTAGTGACCCAGCCTTCCCTGTGTTACACATCTCTTCGCAGAATAAGCGTGGTTCCCTTTCTTCCACATGACTTCCTCTGCAGCATTTTACCACAGAATGACGACTCCCTTACAACTCAAGAAATGTTTAGGCCTACTTCTGAATAATCACTTGCTCTAAGAATAAGGAGAATTCAACATTCTCAGATGGAAGACCGGCTGGATGAAGTCATGTGCCATCTATCCCAACCAAGCATGCAACTCTCCAGGTATCATCAGATGAAACAAACATGTCAATCAAGCAACCAACCAGGGAGATCTTCTTTGGAAAATAATTGTATTGCTTAGCAACACGTTAAGTTAATGTGTGAGTATCGTTTTGGGTATTGTGACATTCTCAAGCCCCATACAGCCAAATAAACCAGAAGGCGACCCATCTGAGTCAATGCTAGCTTACCATTTAACATCTGGAAACTTCTCTTATATTGCTGGATCTGGCCGGAAAGTATGGGTGGAGACACAGGGAGGCAGCCAATAACCTAATTATGCATGTGGCTTATTGACTTGTCAAAAGAAAAAAAGTCAGTCATTCATATTAGTTTGGTAGACTAACTCTAAAGTCTGAGGACTTCTATTAGAACTGCTAAATTAGGGACTAGGTTGGCAACGGTTTCCAAAGGAGAAACTCTTATTGGAGAGAAACCATCATGCCAACTTGTTTTATCGTTTGTATGTTTCACTGTAAAATGATTCATATTAGGAGGTGCAAAGCCATCACGGAATGTATGCTTTTGTCTGTGTAAAAACATTTATCACGTTAATGGATTCATGACTTCCTCCATTCCACGACTTCAAGTGTTTTGTGCGGAGACTTGAAAACCTGTAACTGAATAATAGAAGATCGTGATTCTGGAGACCTGGGTTTCTGTTTGACTGATTTAGTCGCCCGTATTTGTTGACAGTGATCTGAATCACTGAAATGTGCTAAGTAATGACTTTGTATTTGTGAAGAGCTAAATACCCTGATGTTCTGATTTTTTTAAGCAAATAAGCTGAGGCAGAAATAATATATGGTGTCCTCTGTTAGGTCTCATCGCCCAGGGAAAAGATCACCTCCAAGAACCTCGCCTACAACACAAAAGAGTCTCTACATACACAAACTGCATGGTCTTCTTTTCTGGTTGTTGGGTCACAGGTGGCTCAGCATTCTGAGTTTGCAAATAAAGTGCATCTTGATAAATTAGGTTAAAAGTGGGAGAATGTTCACAGACTGGGAACGTCAATTCAGCTCTCAGCAGGTGCAAGATGAAAGTGCCTTTTTGCAGAAAGCCACCACAGCTCTGCACCTGCTCCTTGGAGAAGGAACCAGGTATTAGAAGGGCTGCCACGGGAGAAATGACTTCACAAAATCATAAGCAGGATGTGGCTCTGTTTCCCCTCTAAGAGGGGCATGTTTGTGCCCTCTCAATTATACCTACCTAACCTAATGGGAGGCTCTATGTGAGAGTGGCCAAAGTGTGATCGTTAAATACCTGTGAGGATGCATTATTACTCAGATTCTATCAAATAAACCCAAGCAGAAGAAATGTGCAAACATTACTGTTTCAGCTAGTAGTTTAATCTTTTCCTTGAGGCCATGCTGAAGATGAAGAGTAAAATGAGAATAAACATGACCGCTAATGAAGATGGGGAAAGTGTTGAAAGGGTCTCGTTGACAGAAAAAGAACACTAGAAAATCATGGGCTAGAAATGCAGCTGGGAAGTTAAGGCTGGTACTTGGTGCTCTAGGGAAACTGGCTTCCTCTTCTACTTGGTGAGTTGTCTTGTGTCCCCCCCCCGCCCCACAGCCCCCACCAACCAGGTGGGACAATCATTGACGTATTTGGGAAGAGGAAGTCATTTCAGGGATATAGTTCTAGGAGAAATGAAAGTTATTATGTGCAGCTGTTTGACTTTGAAGGGGGGAAGGGTGGTTGACAGGACAGGAACTGCTGTGTACATTTCCTCTTCCTGTTTCCTTAACTGACGTCCTCAGGCATCTCTCCGTGGCAGCGGCGGGCGGGGGTGGGG